AAGGAGCCAGGTTCCTGTATGGGAGCAGGAGTGATGGACCCCCCAAACCACCAAGGTAGGAGGGGGAAGTGACAAGCAGTGAAGGCCTCTGGGATTGATTCTCAGCTGCTTCTGGCCCAGCCGCCTGCCTGTCCACACCCAGGGCAGGGACGGAGGAGGCTGGGCGCTGTGACTTGTGAGTTCTCGCCCTGGCCTGCCCATCGCCTGACTCACGGGCAGCCCCCAGCCCAGGCTTCCTGGTGAAGCTTTCGCCAGTCAGTGGGGCTGGGGGGGAAGAGGAGGGTCACCAGACTATTTATAAGAAGGAGAAGTCCCTTTATGCCAAAGTCAAAAGCCCCAGAGAGATCTGTGGGTGGGGGTGGATGAACTTCCTCCTTACCCTGTTCCCCCACCCCCTCTCCCCAAGTTCCAGGCTGGGGTGGAAAGGCTGGGCATAGACTGACCCAGCCAGGTGCTGATCTGGAGCCCAGAGCCTGGGCCATACCCAGGTGCCAGTCTGGGCACCCCAGGGCAAGCAGGGGGAGGGGGCTAGCCTCACACCCTTCACTTGGGGCCGGCCTGGCGCCAGCAGGGCGGCGTGAGGGGGCGGTGCCCAGGCCACAAGGGTGAGACTGGCAGGGGCCTGGAGCCGGCTCTACCAGCTTGGCCAGGCCCCGCCCTCCCTGGCTGGCCCTTTCCCCACCCCCTGCTAAAACACCCAAGCTGAAGGCTTTGGGGGGACACTCCCCCCTCCTTTCTCCAACAGCAGGGCCAACTCCATGTCTCCCCTTCTCAGAACTTCTCAGACCTTTCTGAAAAGATCTTCTTCGTATGCAGTTGGTGCTGCATAAATGCCTTTCTGAGCATGTGTGAGGTTCTATGTACAATTCCCAGTGCTACCAAAAAAAAAAAAAAGCCAGGCGCTGGTGGCTCACGGCTGGGCTGTCATCCTAATTATTCTGGAGGCTGAAATCTGAGGATCTCAGTTCAAAGCCAGCCCCAGCAGGAAAGTCTGTGAGACTCTTATCTCCAGCCAACTACCAGAAAACCGGAAGTGGAGCTGTGACTCAGAGTGGTCAAGCCAAGTGCTAGCCTCCAGCAAAAAAAACCTCAGGGACAGCACCTGGCCTCAAGTTCAAGCCCCATGACTAAATTAAAAAAAAAAAAAAAACAAAAAAACACCATTCTTCTGCTTGTGATCATCCAACTGTGGACAGCTCCAATGAGCTACTTTAATACTTCGAAGGTCTGGGATATTAACTTCCAGTGCCTCAGTTTCTCCTTTGTTACTGGAGGTTGCAAACAGCAGGGAATTTCGCAGGCAACCAGCAACTTATTTTACACAATCCACTTTAGAATAGTGTCTGGTGCATGGTCAGAATCATGTAAGTGTTAGCTATTAAAAGAATAATTACTATTTCTCAGCCCGTCTTAAGTGTCTCTGAGTCTACCAGTCTGTCTGCCTATCACCCCATTCATTGTTTTAGGTATCTCTTAATATCCACCCCCTCCCCCCACACACACCAAATTCTGGCTTGCTAGGTCTTTGCCCTCCCCCTCGACCCTCGCTAAAACTTCTGTCTTGTCGGGCCTGGAACTGTCCCATGCGTGACTCAGTCTTAGGCTTCTTCCCTGTGGGACCAACAGGATGGCTTCCCAAAGGTAGCTGCCCTCCGGGTTGTCCTGCCCGCCCCCCCCACACTGCCCGCTGCTGCGCCCCCGCGAGCAAGGCCAGTTCTAGTTATTAGCATGAGCAGGAGACACAGGCCTGGCACAGTGCCCGCCAGACTCAGCGGCCTCTGGAATCTCCCTCGAGACTGGGGTGGGGGAAGGGAGCCATCGGAGCAAGGAAGAAAGGGGAGGAGCCCCCTGGGGGGGTCACCGAGATCCTCCAAAGATGGGGATAGCCCCCAGAGGCTTCTGGGATCTTCTTCCTCAAGGTCCCTTGCGCGCCCCCCGCCCCCAGCTTGCTGGGCCGGACTTCCCCTTGCCCCCTTTTTGGCTCAGTTTCTCTTTCGACTCTCTCTTTCCTTCTCTCCCCCACATTCGGTGAACTCCCTCTCCCCCCCCCAAAAAAAAAAAGCCCTTGTCTGGGCCTCAGCCAGCCTCTCTCCCAGGTCAGGGGCCTTGGAAGGGTGAGAAGGAGGGAGAGATGGGGCCTGGCAGCTCTTGTTGTAGGGGCTCAGGTACTGCTTGGAAGTCCACCTACAGTCTAGCTTCAGGTTCGACTTCTTAGTGGCATTATTTAAACCCAGTACTCTTCCCCGGAAAGGGGCTTCCTCTGGCTTTCCTGGTGCCTTTTTGACTGGAGAAGGAGGGGCCCTCAGCCGAGGGTAACACCTGGGGAGGGGAGAGGCCCGCCTAGGTACTCTGCAGGGTTGATGGCACCTCCAAACTAAAATGGGAATGAGGCTCCGGGTCCACACGGGGCAGGGGTTCCCAGCCACCCTGGGGCACACGGGAGAAGGGAGTCTTAGACACACTGGCAAAAGGAAGGGGCAGCGTGCCCCAGGAAGGGGGCACCGCCGTGCCAGCCCGCCCGGGACGCCCGGAGGCGTCAGCCCGCCCCGTCCTCGCCCCGTCGGGCCCGGGGCGAAGTCCGACCCAGGCCCCGGG